TTCCTTGGATAAACTCCCCAAAAAAAGGCTTCTTCATCTCTTCCTTGGATAACCTCTAAACTCCCAAAAAAAGGCTTCTTCATCTCTTCTCCTTGGATAAACTGTGACTTTAAAGGAAGCAGGGAAGTGAAAAATTGAAAGTATTTGCTAAGGAGGAAAATATCGACTTGTTGAAAGTTTTCATGGTCAGAATCACGGGGATGTTGTGAGTTTTCCGAGCTCTCCTGATGTTGCAACCTCTGAGGTTGCCTGCCATAGATGCAGGCGAAATGTCAGGAGAGAATGCTTCTGGAATGTAACCATACAGCCTGGAAAACTCACAACAACCCAATGAAAGTTTTCATGGCCAGAATCACTGGGATGTTGTGAGTTTTCCAGGCTCTCCTGATGTTGCAACCTCTGAGGGTGCCTGCCATAGATGCAGGCGAAATGTCAGGAGAGAATGCTTCTGGAACATAACCAAACAGTCTGGAAAACTCACAACAACCCAATGACCGACTTCTTGCTTTAATATATATAATGGGGAGGCGAAATGCTTGGGAAAAATTATGCCAAAAAAATGTAAACTTTTCCAAAAACTTTTCAGAATAAAACCATATTTTGGGACTTTGGAAAATAGAACTCGCTCTCCACCTTTAAAATATGGCCAGAATCACTGGGATGTTGTGAGTTTTCCGGGCTCTCCTGATGTTGCAACCTCTGAGGATGCCTGCCATACCCCCCCCCCCCCCCCCCCCCCCCCCACCCCCCCCCCCCCCCCCCCCCCCCCCCCCCCCCCCCCACCCCCCCCCCCCCCCCCCCCCCCCCCCCCCCCCCCCCACCCCTCCCCCCCCCCCCCCCCCCCCCCCCCCCCCCCCCCCCCACAACCTCTGAGGATGCCTGCCATAGATGCAGGCGAAATGTCAGGAGAGAATGCTTTTGGGACATAACCAAACAGCCTGGAAAACTCACAACAACCCAATGACCGACTTCTTGCTTTAATATATATAATGGGGAGGCGAAATGCTTGGGAAAAATTATGCCAAAAAAATGTAAAGTTTTCCAAACAGTTTTCAAAACAAAACCATATTTTGGGACTTGGAAAATAGAACTCGCTCTCCACCTTTAAAATATGGCCAGAATCACTGGGATGTTGTGAGTTTTCCAGGCTCTTCTGATGTTGCAACCTCTGAGGATGCCTGCCATAAGATGGAGGCGAAATGTCAGGAGAGAATGCTTCTGGAACGTAACCAAACAGTCTGGAAAACTCACAACAACCCAATGACCGACTTCTTGCTTTAATATATATAATGGGGAAGCGAAAGGCATGGGGAAAATTATGCCCAAAAAAAATGTAAACTTTTCCAAAAACTTTTCAGAATAAAACCATATTTTGGGACTTTGGAAAATAGAACTCGCTCTCCACCTTTAAAATATCCCTAGGGAACTCCAAAGGTAAGAAGTACTTGGTGTTTTGGACTTCAACTCCCACAATTCCTAAGTTTCCAAGTTCTCCAAGGCAAAAAGCTTTTTCCCGCTTGTCGGGAAGAGAAAAAAGTTTGGACGCATTCCCTTTCCCGCAAAAGGAAAGGGAAGGGAAGGAAAAGGAACGAGGAAGGAAAGGAGGAAGGGAGGAAGTTGGTCCTACTGTTCCTAAACTTCGGTGCCGGGCTTCCAGCTTCCCAAAATAACACTCAAAACAAAGCAGGGACTTACACGAGTTGCGCCTTGGAGACAAGACGACCCCGTGCGTAAAAAGCCCGACTTTTTGGAGAATGTTTGTGCGCCTTTCCAAGCAGGAAAAGCAGACCCAAAAGCGAGGAAAGTAGACCCAAAAGTTCTCTCTCCTCTGCTTCCCCCCCCCAAAATAATACTCCCACTTCCCCCAAAAAAATACCAAACCCCAAAACGGTTGCGATGGAGAAGTTATTTTGGAGAGGAGACATAAAAACTAGGGAGGGTTTGACAGTCTTTTGGAGAGGAAGGGGCTCGCTCCAGAAGGCAACCCGATGTGAAAAAGGAAGGGCTCTCCTTACTAAATAATAATAATAATAATAAACTTCCAAACAGACAAACAAGTTGTCTTGGAAACACCGTAAAAAGGAAGTTTTGGAAAGCTTAAATAATAATAATAATACACTTCCAAACAAACAAACAAGTTGTCTTGGAAACACCGACATTTCCGTGCGTAAAAAGGAAGTTTTGGAGAGCTTGGTTGCCTTTCAACGGGGAAGGAGTTCTAGAAGGCGACTCGAGGGAGAAAAAGGGTCCCGCTCCCTTCTCCTTTCCTCTCCCTAAAAAAAATACCCCCCCCCCTTTCCAACAAACAAACAAGATACATTAGAGAAGCCGGTGTTGCGCCTTGGAGAGGTCTCCGTGCGTAAAAGGGGAGTTTTGAAGAAACTGTCTGTCTTTCGATGGGAAATTTCAGAAGGTGAGTAGAGGGAGAATTAAAAAGAGTCCCTTCTCCCCCCCCCCCAAATAAACAATGCCCAAGTTGTGTTGGAGAAGCCGTTGGTGCGCCTTGGAGAGGTCTCCGTGCGTCAAAAGGACAGTTTCGGAGAGCCTGGGTGCCTTTCGATGGGAAAGTTTCCAGGAGGCGACTAGAGGGAGAAAATAAGTCCCTCTCCCTTCTCCTCCCCCCTCCCTTAAGAAACGATACCCTTTCTCTCCCCCCACAACAAACAAATAAACAATTTGCCTTGGGGAAGACAGTGATACAGGGTTTCCTGTGCGTCAAGAGGGGAGTTTTGGAAAGCCTGGCTGCCTTTCGACGGGGAAGGAGTTCCAGGAGACGGCTCCAGGGAGAAAAAAAGTCCTGTTCTCTTCTCCCCCCACCCTAACAAAACAATACCCTTCCCCCCAAAACAAACGAACAAATTGCCTTGGAGTAGCCGGAGGTGCGCCTTGAAGAGGTCTCCGTGCGTCAAAAGGGAGTTTAGGAGAGCCTGGCTGCCTTTCGTTGGGAAAGAGCTCCAGAAGGGGACTCAAGGAAGAAAGAGGGTCCCTCTCCCTTCTCCTCCCCCCTCCCTAAAAATAAACCATACCCAAGTTGCGTTTGAGAAGCCGATGTTTCCATGCGTCGAAAGAGGAGTTTTGGAGAGCCCGATGGTGCGCCTTGGAGAGGAGTTTTGAAGAGCCTGGATGGATGCCTTTCGATGGGGAAAGAGTTCCAGGAGGCGTCTCGAGGGAGAAAGAGGGTCCTGCTCCCGTCTCCCCCCTCCCTAAAATAAACAGTGTCCAAGTTGCATTGGAGAAGTCAGTGGTGCGTCTTGGAGAGGTCTCCTCCATGCGTAAAAAGGGAGTTTTGGAGAGTCTGGCTGCCTTTCGATGGGGAAGAGTTCTAGAAGGGGACTCGAGGGCGAAAAGGGGTCCCTCTCCCTCCTCCTCCCCGCTTCCTAAAATAAACAATACCCTAATTACGTTGGAGAAGGCAGTGGTGCGTCTTCCTCCGTGCGTGAAAGGGGAGTTTTGGAGAGCCCGATGATGCATCTTGGAGAGATCTCCTCCGTGCGTAAAAAGGGAGTTTTGGAGAGCCTGGCTGCCTTTCGATGGGGAAGGAGTTCCAGGAGACGGCTCGAGGGAGAAAAAGGGTCCCACTCCCTTCTCCCCCAACCTCCCTAAAATAAACAGTGTCCAAGTTGCATTGGAGAAGCCGGAGTTGCGCCTTGGAGGTCTCCTCCATGCGTAAAAGGGGAGTTTTGGAGAGCCTGGAGCCTTTCGATGGGGAAAGAGTTCCAGGAGGTGACTCGAGGGAGAAAGGGGGTCTCTCTAACTTCTCCTCCCCCCTCCCTAAAATAAACAGTGTCCAAGTTGCATTGGAGAAGCCCGAGTTGCGCCTTGGAGGTCTCCTCCGTGCGTAAAAAGGGAGTTTTGGAGAGCCTGGCTGCTTTTCGATGGGAAAGAGTTCCAGAGGGAGAAAAAGGGTCCTGCTCCCTTCTCCCCCCCTCCCTAAAATAAAGAGTGTCCCAAGTTGCATGGGAGAAGCCGGAGTTGCGCCTTGGAGGTCTCCTCCGTGAGTAAAAGGGGAGTTTTGGAGAGCCCGATGGTTCGTCTTGGAAAGGTCTCCTCCTCCGTGCGTAAAAAGGGAGTTTTGGAGAGCCTGGCTGCCTTTCGATGGGAAAGAGTTCCAGAGGGAGAAAGAGGGTCCCTCTCCCTCCTCCTTCTCCCTCCCTAAAAATAAACAATACCCAAGTTGTGTTGGAGAAGTCAGTATTGTGTCTTGGGAGAGGTCTCCTCCGTGCGAAAAAAGGGGAGTTTTGGAGAGCCCGATGGTGCACCTTGGAGATGTCTCCTCCGTGCGTAAAAAGGGAGTTTTGGAGAGCCTGGCTGCCTTTCGATGGGGAAGGAGTTCCAGGAGATGATTTGAGGGAGAAAGAGGGTCCCACTCCCTTCTCCTCCCCCCTCCCTAAAATAAACAGTGTCCAAGTTGCATTGGAGAAGCCCGAGTTGCGCCTTGGAGGTCTCCTCTGTGCGTAAAAAGGGAGTTTTGGAGAGCCTGGCTGCTTTTCGATGGGAAAGAGTTCCAGAGGGAAAAAAAATGGCCCCCCCCCCCTTCCCCCCCCCCCCTCCCTAAAATAAACTGTCCCAAGTTGCATGGGAGAAGCCAGTGGTGCGCCTTGGAGAGGTCTTCTCCGTGCGTAAAAAGGGAGTTTTGGAGAGCCGGATGGTGCGCCTTGGAGAGGTCTCCGTGCGTAAAAAGGGAGTTTTGGAGAGCCTGGTTGCCTTTCGATGGGGAAGGAGTTCCAGGAGACGATTTGAGGGAGAAAGAGGGTCCCTCTCCCTTCTCCTCCCCCCTCCCTAAAATAAACTGTCCAAGTTGCATGGGAGAAGCTGGAGTTGCGCCTTGGAGAGGTCTCCTCCGTGCGTAAAAAGGGAGTTCTGGAGAGCCTGGCTGCCTTTCGATGGGAAAGAGTTCCAGAGGGAGAAAGAGGGTCCCTCTCCCTTCTCCTTCCCCCTCCCTAGAAATAAACAATACCCAAGTTGTGTTGGAGAAGTCAGTGCGTAAAAGGAGAGTTTTGGAGAGGTCTCCTCTGTGCGTAAAAAGGGAGTTTTGGAGAGCCCGATGGTGCGCCTTGGAGATGTCTCCTCCGTGCGTAAAAAGGGAGTTTTGGAGAGCCTGGCTGCCTTTCGACGGGGAAGCAGTTCCAGGAGACGGCTCGAGGGAGAAAGAGGGTCCCCCTCCCTTCTCCTCCCCCCTCCCTAATCAAAGCAATGCCCAAGTTACGTTGGAGAAGCCGGAGTTGCGCCTTGGAGAAGTCCCCGCGCGTGGAAGGGAGCCTGGGAGAGAGTCTGGGCGCTAGATATGAGTCAGGGGCACGGTCCCGTTGACGGAGGCTCCGGCGCCGGGGTAGTGCTGGTGGACGCCGTGGAGCCGGCTGCTTTGGAGCGCTGCCGTCGGGTCCGCCGCGTCGCCACCTCCTCCTCCTCCTCCGCCGCCTCCTCCTCCTCCAGGGGGAAGATACATACTTATCATATCCCGGAGATCTCCGAGGCAGGCCCGTTGGGAGTGGGAGGCCACAGCCGGGGGTGGCGAGCTGGGCTCGGCTTTAACGAGCGCCCCCAACCCCGTGGGTTGATAAGCGGCGGCCATGCTGTATGTGGAGGCGGCGGCGCTCATGTAGGGCTGGGCGCTGGACATGATGGGGCTGTACTGGAGCCCCGCGACGTCGTAGCGGTGCATGGGCTGGAGCTGGGCATTGCTCATAGCCGGGTGTTGGCTGTAGCCTCCGAGTTGGTCGGGCATCAAGGAGGCGTAGGCGCCGTTGGGCCAGCCATTCAAGTGGGCGTAGGAGTCCAAGCGCTGCCCGACGGGGCTACTCACCCCGTTCCCTCCGCCGCCTCCGAGTCCTCCTCCTCCTCCGAGTCCGGCTCCGGAAGGGGCCAAGAGGTTCCCCGGCAGCGAGTACTTGTCCTTCTTGAGCAGCGTCTTCGTCTTCCGACGGGGGCGGTACTTATAATCCGGGTACTCCTTCATGTGGACGGCGCGGAGCCGCTTGGCCTCGTCGATGAAGGGCCGCTTCTCGGCGTCGCTGAGCAGCTTCCAGTCCGCGCCCAGGCGCTTGGAGATCTCCGAGTTGTGCATCTTGGGGTTCTCCTGGGCCATCTTGCGACGTTGCCCTCGAGACCACACCATGAAGGCGTTCATGGGGCGCTTGACGCGGTCCTGATCCACCGTCGAGGTGCCATTCCCTCCTCCTCCTCCTCCTCCTTTCCCGTTGTTGTTACTGGAAGGGTTGCTTTGAGGGCCTTTGAGCTCGCCGTCCAGCATGCCGTACATGGCCGGCGAGGAGAGGAGATGCGCCAGCTTGGCTGAGAGAAGAACCCAAACTCAAGCCTCCGCCGTCCAGCAAAGAGCCACAGGACCCCACAGGAGAGGAAAGTAGCGCTCTTTCCTTCTCCTCTCTTCCTTCTCCGTCCAGTAAAGAGCCACAAGACCCCAGAGGAGAGGAAACTGGTGCTCTTTCCTTCTCCTCTTGGTCAATTTTCGGCTTCTCCTCCCCTTGACCAGCAACTCTCTTTGGCCCCCTCCTCGGGGCTTGCTCTTTCTCTCCGGGGCCTTTGATTGACGGCCTATAAATGAGCAGGCGGCGGCCAATCACAGCCCAGGACCCGGCTTGTTCTCTTCCTCTTGAGGGGAGGGGAAGAAGGGAGGGGCAGGACCACTTTCTTGCTCCCTCCTCCTCCTCCTCCTCCTTGCTTTTGCTCCCTCTCCGAGTTTGACGCACCCGCCCCGTCCCAAGTTTTGGAGACTTACTTGTTTGTACGCGTCCTCCAATTTTAAGCACTAATTTCTGTTGTTTTTTTGTTATGTTGGGCCTAGGCCTCTTTTAAGCCTCTTGTAAGCTTTTTGTAAATCCTTCGGGAGATGTTAGCAGGGTATAAATAAAGGTATTATTATTATTATTATTATTATTATTATTATTATTATTATTCGGGCTATATGGCTATATTATATTACTATTATATCACAATTATTATATTACTATTATTATTACTATTAAATTACTATTATTACTACTACTATTATTGTTGCTATTATATTACAATTATTACTATTATATTATAATTATTGCTATTATATTACTGTAATTATTACTAATATTACTATTATTATTGCTGTTATATTACAATTATTACTATATTACAACTATTGCTTTTATATTACTGTAATTATTACTAATATTACTATTACTATTGCTATTATATCACAATTATTATATTACTATTATTATTATTATTATTAAATTACTACTACTACTATTATTGTTGCTATTATATTACTATTATTATTGCTATTATTATTGCTATTTTATTGCTATTATTACTATTCTATTACTACTATGACTATTATTGTTACTATTATTATTACTATTATTGTTACTATTATATTACTACTATTATTTTACTACTACTATTAGTATTATTACTATTACCATTATTATTACATTACTATGATTACTATTATTATTAAATTACTATTATTATTGCTATTACTATTATATTACTATTATTATTACTTCTTCACTTTCCTCTCTCAGGGCCCTTCCACACAGCCATATAAACCCAGAATACCAAGGCAGGTAATCCACAAGATCTGCTTTCAAGAGAGATATTGACAAGCTGAAATGTGTCCAGAGGAGGGCGATTAAAATGATCAAGGGTCTGGAGAACAAGCCCTATGAGGAGCGGCTTAAGGAGCTGGGCATGTTTAGCCTGAAGAAGAGAAGGCTGAGAGGAGATATGATAGCCATGTATAAATATGTGAGAGGAAGCCACAGGGAGGAGGGAGCAAGCTTGTTTTCTGCTTCCTGGAGACTAGGACGCGGAACAATGGCTTCAAACTACAAGAGAGGAGATTCCATCTGAACATGAGGAAGAACTTCCTGACTGTGAGAGCCGTTCAGTAGTGGAACTCTCTGCCCTGGAGTGTGGTGGAGGCTCCTTCTTTGGAAGCTTTTAAACAGAGGCTGGATGGCCATCTGTCAGGGGTGATTTGAATGCAATATTCCTGCTTCTTGGCAGGGGGTTGGACTGGATGGCCCATGAGGTCTCTTCCAACTCTTTGATTCTATGATTCTATGATCTGAGTCCACACCACCATATAAACCAGTTCAATGTGGATTTTATACAGCTGTGTGGAAGAAGGGGCCTGAATGGAGACTCACAGCGACTGGCAAGGCGCAAAACAGAACCCTTTGCCTTTAAATCTTAGGTCAGATAAACACTAACACAGAGTTATGAAAAAGAAACAGTCCAAAGCACATAAAAACTCTACAAAACGCCACAAAATAGTATTGTGGAAACTTCCAAAACTCTTCCAAACAACCCAAAATCCATCTACTCGCTGTATCTATATTTAAAAGTGAGAGGGAGAGAAAAACAAAATAATAGGTGCTCAAATACTCAAAGAGTCCCAAATTCTATCTGATCTGGAAGCTAAGTCGGGCTAGGCCTGGTTAATACTCGGAGGGGAGACCGCCAATGAATACCAGGTGGGTTGCTGTGAGTTTTCTGGGATGCATGGCCATGAAAAAGCATTCTCTCCTGACATTTCACCCACATCTATGGCAGGTATCCTCAAAAGTTGTGAGGTCTGTTGGAAACTAGGCAAGTGGGGTTTATATATCTGTAGAATAATGTCCAGGGTCTTGTCTGTTTGAGGCAAGTGTGAATGTTGCAATTGGCCACCTTGATTACCATTGAATGGCCTTTCAGCTTCAAAGTCTGGATGCTCCATCCTTTGTTGGAAGGTATTAGCTGGCCCTGATTGTTTCCTGTCTGGAATTCCCATGTTTTTGAGTGTTGCTCTTTATTTACTGTCCAGATTTTAGAGTTTAGAGCCAGGCATTGAAGCTAAAATACCTAAACTGGACAGGGTTTAAAGAACAAGCCCTATGAGGAGCGGCTTAAGGAGCTGAGCATGTTTAGCCTGAAGAAGAGAAGGCTGAGAGGAGATATGATAGCCATGTATAAATATGTGAGGGGAAGTCATAGGGAGGAGGGAGCAAGCTTGTTTTCTGCTTCCCTGGAGACTAGGACGCGAAACAATGGCTTCAAACTACAAGAAAGGAGATTCCATCTGAACATGAGGAAGAACTTCCTGACTGTGAGAGCCGTTCAGCAGTGGAACTCTCTGCCCCGGAGTGTGGTGGATGCTCCTTCTTTGGAAGCTTTTAAACAGAGGCTGGATGGCCATCTGTCAGGGTGCATTTATTTATCGTGTCATCAGCAACCATTGTATTACAATTCTAACAGAGCAAGACAAACACACAGATTAAAAAGAAAAAGAAAAAAAACACACAGATTTTGCAAATTTGGTATTTGGTTAAATGTCCTTTGACCAGTATCTGGCCACTTGGAGTGCCTCTGGGGTTGCCGCAAGAAGGTCCTCCATTGTGCATGTGGCAGGGCTCAGGGTGCATTGCAGCAGGTGGTCAGTGGTTTGTTCTTCTCCGCACTCGCATGCCGAGGATTCCACCCTGTAGCCCCATTTCTTAAGATTGGCTCTGCATCTCATGGTGCCGGAACGCAGTCTGTTCAGCGCCTTCCAAGTTGCCCAGTCTTCTGAGTGCCCAGGGGGGAGTCTCTCATCTGGTATCACCCATGGATTGAGGTGCTGGGTTTGGGCCTGCCACTTTTGGACTCTCGCTTGCTGGGGTGTTCCAGCGAGTGTCTCTGTAGATCGAAGAAAACTATGTCTTGATTTAAGTCGTTGACGTGCTGGCTGATACCCAAACAGGGGATGAGCTGGAAATGTCTCTGCCTTGGTCCTTTCACTATTGGCTGCTACTTCCCGGCGGATGTCAGGTGGTGCAATACCGGCTAAGCAGTGTAATTTCTCCAGTGGTGTAGGGCGCAGACACCCTGTGATAATGCGGCATGTCTCATTAAGAGCCACATCCACTGTTTTAGTGTGGTGAGATGTGTTCCACACTGGGCATGCATACTCAGCAGCAGAGTAGCATAGCGCAAGGGCAGATGTCTTCACTGTGTCTGGTTGTGATCCCCAGGTTGTGCCAGTCAGCTTTCGTATGACATTGTTTCTAGCGCCCACTTTTTGCTTGATGTTCAGGCAGTGCTTCTTGTAGGTCAGAGCACGGTCCAAAGTGACTCCCAGGTATTTGGTGTGCTGCAATGCTCCAGTGGGATTCCTTCCCAGGTAATCCTCAGAGCTCGGGATGCTTGTCTGTTCTTAAGGTGAAAGGCACATGTCTGTGTTTTAGATGGATTAGGGATCAGTTGGTTTTCCCTGTAATAGGCAGTGAGAGCACCTAGAGCTTCGGAGAGCTTCTGTTCTACCATCTCAAAGCTCCCTGCTTGAGCAGTAATGGCACAATCATCAGCATAGATGGCCATCTGTCATGGGTGATTTGAATGCAATATTCCTGCTTCTTGGCAGAATGGGGTTGGACTGGATGGCCCATGAGGTCTCTTTGATTCTATGATTCTATGATCTGGGCCATCTGAGTCCACACTGCCATATATTCCAATTTAAAGCGGAAAATGTGGGATTTTATTCAGCTGTGTGGAAAGGGGCCTAAGTTTACTTCTGTGGATACAAACATAGGACATTTTCTTCTTCCTCATCCAATTCTTATTTTAAATTTAGAGTTATTTGTTGTTTTGTTTACAAAGCTGAACTTGGTTGTCAAGATTCTGGGGGGGGGGGGTTACACACAGCTGAATAAAATCCCACATTATCTGGTTTGAACTGGTTTATATGGCCATGTGGATTCGGATACCCCACTTCAAAGCAGATCTTTTGGCAGGAAAAATGCAATGCAAAGATACAGAATAGGCAGGACAATGCCTGGCTCGAGAGTAGTACGTGTGAAAAAGATCTTGGAGTCCTCGTGGACAACAAGTTAAACATGAGCCAACAATGTGATGTGGCGGCAAAAAAAGCCAATGGGATTTTGGCCTGCATCAATAGGAGCATAGTGTCTAGATCTAGGGAAGTCATGCTACCCTGCTCTATTCTGCTTTGGTTAGACCACACCTGGAATATTGTGTCCAATTCTGGGCACCACAATTCAAGAGGATATTGACAAGCTGGAATGTGTCCAGAGGAGGGCGACTAAAATGATCAAGGGTCTGGAGAACAAGCCCTATGAGGAGCGGCTTAAGGAGCTGAATGTTTAGCCTGAAGAAGAGAAGGCTGAGAAGAGATATGATAGCCATGTATAAATATGTGAGAGGAAGCCACAGGGAGGAGGGAGCACTGTTGTTTTCTGCTTCCTTGGAGACTAGGACACGGAACAGTGGCTTCAAACTACAAGAGAGGAGATTCCATCTGAACACGAGGAAGAACTTCCTGACTGTGAGAGCCGTTCAGCAGTGGAACTCTCTGCCCCGGAGTGTGGTGGAGGCTCCTTCTTTGGAAGCTTTTAAACAGAGGCTGGATGGCCATCTGTCAGGGGTGCTTTGAATGCAATATTCCTGCTTCTTGGCAGAATGGGGTTGGACTGGATGGCCCATGAGGTCTCTTCCAACTCTTTGGTTCTATGATTCTATTTGGGTTACCTGAGTCCACACTGCCATATA